GCACGAAGCTAAAACTATTTCTGCCAATTTTGAAGCTAACCTTGATAAGCTTCTTGATGTTGATCACAATACTAACGTTTTTTCTGACAATGAAGAAGCTATTTTGAAGCTCCAGAACGACATAACAGAACTATCAATAAACATCCAAACTGAAATTTCTCTTCTAATTCATAACTCTAATAATGAACACTTGTCAAATAACTCAGTAACATCAAACCCAACCTCTAGGCCTACTCCTAGCGTTGTAAAATTGCCCAAGCTAGAACTGAAGTCCTTCAATGGTGACACTAAAACATGGATATCCTACATTAACCTTTTTGATACTACTATCCACAACAATAGTAGCTTATCCCTTGTTGAAAAACACCAGTACTTGATAAGTTCACTTGAAGGCGAAGCCTTACACCTAATCAAATCCCTACCGATCTCGTCTGGCAACTATACAGTAGCCTATAATGCCTTACGGGAAAGATACCACTCGAAGCGTAGGCTAATCTCTGTCCACCTCAGTAAAATTGTCGATTTACCCAATATTAATGAAAAATCTATCAACAACCTCAGATCATTTTTAAATGAGTTCAATGAAAATGAACAAGCTCTTAGTGTTCTTGACTATAATGTCATGGAAGACAACTACCTACTAAGTATGTTGATCTTACGAAAAATTAATTCCAACCTCTGTCAAGTTTTTGAATCAAAACGCATAAATTCTTCTGATTTTCCTCAAGCTAGTGAAATAATCAAATTCCTCAAAGATTTTTATAACAACAGTGAAGATGCCTCTCTCTGTCACGCTCCACAAGTAGCTCCTCTCCAAATATCCAACCCTCACCAAGTGCCACGTCAAATTGATGAATCATTTCAGTTTCAACATCCTCCTATGGCTTTGATCTGTACTTCAAATGATTTTAAATGTTTTTGTTGCCATAAAAATCACAAAATATACAGTTGCCCTGTCTTTAATAATAAAACTCCTCAAGAAAGGCTTAAAGTTGTACGCGACTTCAAACGCTGCACAAATTGCCTTGGTAATCACTTTGCTAAACGCTGCAAGTCTACTAATACTTGTAAGACCTGTTTGAAACTTCATCACACACTCCTACATTTTTTGAAGCCTACTAAGCCTATGGCTGATAACAGAAATAACTCCAACCAAGAACAAAAAGAAGCAATAGCAAACTCAAAACCTTCGAAACTGACAGCTGTAACTCCTGACCATTTTCTTATCAACTCTTCTCTGACAACTGTTCCTGACCCAACAAAGATCTCACCTCTTATTGATAATGTACCTCAAAACATCACCCAAAGCCTATGCTGCCGTTGGAGTCAAGAATATTTTAAGACCCCTCATCAGCGTTGTTTCAAGTGGAACCTCAAGAAAGAAAACCTCAATGTGTAGAACTTGTTTGTTAAAACACACCAGCTCCTCCTAGCTACAGACCAGCTGGATCCTCATTCAAGACCATCATTCAAAGTGTCTTCATACCATTAAGCTGCATTCTTTAAATAATTTTTCAACCCACTCTGGTCAATTCTCATAAACATTTTATATTTTTTCAATTTCTCTTTTGTTGAACCTTGTTGGTTCAAAGGGGGCGGTATGTTCAGTCAAGTGTCTTTGTTTCATCTATTAATTTAAATGTCTTTGTATTTAACATCCCATCATATGACCATTATCAATTGTTGGATTCATTCATCTAGAATCACCGCTCATAACAACATAGGCTACTCATTTTTTCTCTTGATAAATTATTCTCTTTATACCAAAACCTCGACTTTTTCCTCTTTTTAGTATAATTACACCGCACATTATGTTTGTACTTCGAAGACAACGCACCGCATCTCATCGTAAGTTATCAAAATAAAGCATTATCAACATGAAAATAATAAAGAAACCCTGATTTTATTCCTCAGTTGTCCTCATCCTCTAATTACTCCATCCAATTACAATATCTCGACTACTTACTGAACTCATTGAACGATCTAGGCCTAACTTTCAAAATGAGATTTTCAACATTTTCTAATAGATGCAAATTGCAATTAACTAAATTAAATACCATTAGTGAGTATATTCAATCATGTCCTTCAGAAATAACAGAAGCTCAAACCACTAAACTTAACCTTTATTTGCAAGAAGCTAAAACAATTTCTGCCAATTTTGAAGCTAACCTTGATAAGCTTCTTGATGTTGATGACAATACTAACGTTTTTTCTGACAATGAAGAAGCTATTTCAAAGCTCCAGAACGACATATCAGAACTCTCAATTAACATTCAAACTGAAATTTCTCTTTTAATTCAGAACTTTAATGATGAACACTTGTCAAATAACTCTGTAGCATCAAACCCAACCTCTAGGCCTACTCATAGCGTTGTAAAATTGCCCAAGCTAGAACTGAAGTCCTTCAATGGTGACACTAAAACATGGATATCCTACATTAACATTTTTGATACAACTATCCACAACAACAGTAGCTTATCCCTTGTTGAAAAACACCAGTACTTGATAAGTTCACTTGAAGGCGAAGCCTTACACCTAATCAAATCCCTACCGATCTCGTCTGGCAACTATACAGTAGCCTATAATGCTTTACGGGAAAGATACCACTCGAAGCGTAGGCTAATCTCTGTCCACCTCAGTAAAATTGTCGATTTGCCCAATATAACTGACAAATCCATCAAAAACCTCAGATCATTTTTAAATGGGTTCAATGAAAATGAACAAGCTCTTAGTGTTCTTGACTATAATGTCATGGAAGACAACTACCTACTAAGTATGTTGATCTTACGAAAAATGAACTCCAACCTCTGTCAAGTTTTTGAATCAAAACGCATAAATTCTTCTGATTTTCCTCAAGCAAGTGAAATAATTAAATTTCTTAAAGACTTTTGTAACAACAGTGAAGATGCCTCTCTCTGTCACGCTCCACAAGTAGCTCCTCTCCAAATATCCAACCCTCACCAAGTTCCACGTCAAATTGATGAATCAATTCAGTTTCAACATCCTCCTATGGCTTTGATATGTACTTCAAATGATTTGAAATGTTTTTGCTGCCATAAAAATCACAAAATATACAGTTGCCCTGTCTTTAATAGTAAAACCCCTCAAGAAAGGCTTAAAGTTGTACGCGACTTAAAACGCTGCACAAATTGCCTTGGTAATCAGTTTGTTAAACGCTGCAAGTCTACTAATACTTGTAAGACCTGTTTGAAACTTCATCACACACTCCTACATTTCTTGAAGCCTACCAAGCGTATGGCTGATAACAGAAATCACTCCAACCAAGAACAAACAGAAGCAGTAGCAAACTAAAAACCTTCGAAACTGACAGCTGTAACTCCTGGCCATTTTCTTATCAAATCTTCTCTGACAACTGTTCCTGACCCAACAAAGATCTCACCTCTTATTCATAATTTGCCTCAAGACATCACCCAACGCCTATGCTGCCGTTGGAGTCAAGAATATTTTAAGACCCCTCATCAGCGTTGTTTCAAGTGGAACTTCAAGAAAGAAAACCTCAATGTAGACCCTGTTTGCTACGCCAATTCCTCCTAGCTACAGACCAGCTGGATCCTCATTCAAGACCATCATTCAAAGTGTCTTCATACCATTAGCTGCATTCTTTAAATAATTTTTCACCCCACTCTGGTCAATTCTCATAAAAAGCTGTTTATATTTTTTGATTTTCTCATTTTCTCTTTTGTTGAACCTTGTTGGTTCAAAGGGGGCGGTATGTTCAGTCAAGTTGTCTTTGATTCACCTATTACTTTAAATGCCTTTGTATTTAACATTCCATCATATGACCATTATCCATTGTTGGATTCATTCATCGGGAATCACCTCTCATAATAACATGCTCTCATTATTTCTCTCATATATTAAATCTTTTATACCAAAACCCTCGACCTTTTACTCTTAATCTTATAATAACACCGCACAGTCTTTGTTTATGTGTCAAATACTGCTTCCATAAGGATTACATTGAAACTTTAAGACCCAGTGCGGCGGATTCCTGAGAGATTTTTTTAACGCCATATAGATGTTGGCACTCACCGATATGGTCTTTATCACCATGCAAAATTTGAAAACGATTGATTCAGCCGTCTAGGAGGAGTTTGCGTATTAGGAAAAGCATAAGAGTCGACGTATAAGAGCTTCGCTCGCTCCGCTCAAAAACTTTGGAAGCCCATGTTTCGTAGCCCAAGGGAAATATAATAACAGGAATACGCCTAGAAGTTAACCAGGTATATAACCAACCTTCATACAAAATTTTATTTCAATCGGTTCAGTGGTTCTTGCGTCATAAAGTAACAGACAGACACACACACACGCACACACACCATCTCATTTTTATATATTAGTACAGAAGATAATCGTTTAATTTCTGAGCAAAATGGTACAAATCTCACTTCCGTAAAAATCATGATTAAAATGTTGTTGTAACTATGTCATTTTCCCATAAAACATTTTTGTAAAAGAGCCGGGTTTGATTAAAATTAATTTGTTATGGTCCGTATAATTCTAAACAAAATAGTGCAACCCCCATTGCTGAAACAATTACGGTTCGAAAGTAATTGCAAATTTTGTGATTTTCTCTATGTAATATCACATACCTAGTTACTCCCACCACTTTACGAGCTACTGGGAGAAAGTACAGTGTGTGTCAGACTGCTCATACCGTTTATTAGACTTGGAACCTCTTATAAGCATCATGACATTTAATTTACTTTGTACTTACACCAACAAATTTGACCGGTCTGTATAATATATATATATATAATAAACATTTGGACAAATTGTGTTTTTTCCCTCTAGGGACATCACAATGAACCTGGTCCCGTGTCCAGGTCTTACCGTGCCACCTACGCTAATAGCTACTTCCTTATAGGAAAATTTGTTAAAAGAAACCCCAACCCAGATACTGTGAAAAAAAACTGTGCAGGTTAGATAAGCTGAACCATGGTAAATAAGAATTCATTCATAAGACATTAATGTTTGTTTATTATTATATTTCATTTATTGTTGCACATGTAAGAAGTATAAATGTTATAACAAGTTATTAAAATATATTTTCAAATGACTATTACAAATTAAATGCTTTGTTTGGTTGTTATTTTGTGCATATTTCAGGATAAGCGTTTTATTCCAGTTTTACATTAAAACCAACGATTATTATTCTTATGTAATTAACTTACCATTAAAAAAAAAATAAAAAGAGTATTGTATGGTTTGTGTAATAAAGTAACTGTGCAATTATTTAAACAAAAGTCTTAAATAGATTTGTAAAATGTTCTTAAATGTAAGTTCACAATGTAGAAATGTGCCTTTAGTTGTATAAGTCTATTTAGCTATTAATTAAAATTATTCGGAGATCAGTCTGGAAATTGGCACATCAGATTCTGTACTGGTAGTTACCCAAACTTCAAACTGACCAAACACTTTTGATAAACTCAAATATAAGTCCGTAAAGAAATACTAAAGCTATGTGAAAATACATAAAGGAACCTCTAATTTTATCTATGTAAAATTAGCTAAATAAACATAAAAGCTATTTTACTTGGTTTTTGTTCCAACAAAGTACTTTATTGTTGATAAAGTAGAGGTGATTTTATTTAGGAAAACATTATAAACAATTACGGTTGTAGATAAAATAGCCAATAATGTGTGGCTTACAAGTAGTGTAGAATTACACAGGTATGGGGCATACTAACATCTATTATATTATTAAAGTGATACAATCAAATTTTATGTAAACGGTTAAGGCCATTTATCAAGTGAAAATATAGGCATATGGCTTTTTAAAATGAAGCTCAGAGTGTGCAGATTTGCCGAAAAGTATTGATATGGACGAACTCCCTAAGGGCTCTGCTCCACAGGCTGATTTCCAAAGGGCTACTACTTGCATGTTTTGGAAGTTAAAGTTATTCGATTAATTTAGTGAACAACCAAATCCAATGCCAATGCAAGGCCAATGCAATTGACAATATAGTTTGTTTGTTTACATTTTTGTTTACTTATTTTATTATTTAGTTTTGTGTTCTTAAAAGAGGTTCGGTAAGTGGACAGTAACCTCTTTCTATATAACCTATATAATAAAAACAAATCATTCATAATATAATAGGCAGACCATGATATGACGATCCAATGCCTTTTATCAGGTGATGATAGCTTAAAAGATAGTACTTACATTAAATCTACAACATATCAGAACTAATGTCTCAGGTTAGGACTGAATTAACTATTCAATAGATTGACCAGAACAAAGTGAAATCTATTTGTTGTACAAGTCCTCTATTTGTATATAACCTTCGATAGAGAGAATAAACCCATCGATGTTCTTCCTACTAAATATGTGTAGCATGAGTAATCTTATTGTGCTTAAACTATCAGTATATCCTTGCAAACAGCCTTTAGGAGTGGCCAGGACCGGATTTCCTAATAGGCCCGGGCCTATGGGCGCAGCTCCCAAGGGGTGTACAGCCATGAGAATAAAATAAAAATGCTTTAATAGGCTACCTAAAAACTAAAATAAATAGCCGTAAGTAAACATATCTTGGGAAATTATTTTGAAAATCAGGCTAGTAGAGTTAAAACTTCTAATTAATTAATTAGAATTAATTAACGTGTAGTGTATGTAGTTTTTTTAGTACCTAGACTAAAGGTTTATAGGGAGGTAATTTTGACCAGTCTAAGGGGTGGAAAGACTATTGGGCCTAGTGGCGCCATAATTAAATCCGGCCCTGGGAGTGGTATATTAATTTTGGTACATCAGCAAGTCAAGCTAGACTTTTAATTTGTAATCTTAATTTCTTTTTTGATTGTAAGAAATAGTTGTTTAGACTTTTAATTTGTAATCTTAATTTCTTTTTTGATTGTAAGAAATAGTTGTTTTGACTGTTCAATTCTAATGCATTGAACTGATCACGGTCTTTGCACAACACAATCAAAGACTCGAACAAAGCTTTCCGAGTAGAACATTTTGCACACAGCTGCATTGTTGTCAAATGTTTGTTCAGGCACTTTAAACTCTGGATTTACTGCTACCTGCAACAATGAAAATACATTTTAGCAAAATTTCGCTATACAAAGAATAAGCCATTACCTTAGGTCTCATGGTAAGACCTACCCCCGTTTCGGGAAGATCGTAATTGATTGAAATATTATTTAGTCATTTATGATTGAATTACAACTAACTATCAAAATTTGACAAGCTTCATGAAAAATAGTTTTGACAAACACAGTTTGAAACATTTTGTATGTTGTACGTTACGTGAGTTCTTTTCAAGACATTGACAATACAGTATTTATAATCATTTAAGTGGCTGTTAGCAGTATAAAAAAATAATGAAGTAGAAAAGATGCAACTAAATCCCTAATAAATTATTAATAAGCCTTTGGTTTTAGTACTCAAAAATTTGTAGAACCATACATTCCATCCCCATGTTAATTGTGTAGCCTAATATAATCTATAGAATAATAATTGGCGTAATGAGTTGAATTATATAAAAGGCAATGAATTATGGATTTTCAAGTCTTTGCTGACAATCTTTGACACAGTGCTGTCTTGTCTCTCACCTTGAAAGTGTACAAGCCGGGGTTGAGCTCCGTGATGTCAATCCACTGACAGTCGATGTTGTAGCGATAGATGTCGCTACAGTTTACGGAGATACCTTGATCCCCAAAGTTGGCACAGACGTAGCCCGGAGCCACCCCTGGGAGACATTCGTTGTCCTCGAGACAGAACGAGGCTTTGTGACCCTCGGCCACCTTCACGTTGTTCACATCCACAATGTCAAATGTGGCAAACACCTCCATGCTGTGGTAGTGCCTGTGCAGTCAAATACACTCAAACCAATTGTAAATTTTGTGTTGTAACATGAATGAAACTATGTTTAGTCTTTCTTTCAATGTTTGGAGCACACAAATAATATATATGCAAAAAAATTGTATATAATTAATTTAGCTCGTATAAGTAGTATTGCCAATAAGGATTTTTTTTAATAATAGGCCTAAATAAAACATAATTTTTATATATTTAGTGCCTACATATATTATTGAATTTACAGATGAAATTGAGCATTAAAGACGGCAGACATAACTAATATGATCAAAGCATCAAGGACAAAAAAAATGTAATAGTAAATACAGTATGTTGCATTGCATTTTGATGTATCCAATAGTCAATGATTCTACTCTACAAAAATATCAACGAACAACATAATATCATAGACAAATCTATATATTAATACCCCCGCCACAGCAAACCTGCAGACTTAGCGAATTTCCATTTGCCTGATTGGATTTAAACTAAAATGTCTCCTTAAAAATATCACATTTATTCCCTATTAAGCAGAATTAGTTTAATGAGTACTTAGGTTTGCTGCAACAGGGATAAGTTTTTTTTTAATGCAAAATGTTAAAAGGTACTGTGTTTTAGTAAGAAATTACTGTATTTTCCAAATTTGATCAAAATATGTTCATAAACAAGCAAACTACAGCAGCTGACTTATTCTCCATAATATGGTTTAAAAAGAAATTGTGAAATTTTGTGTTTTTAGGGTCAAAAATAGGAAAACCCTATTTTTACCCCATAAAACCCCCCATAAACCCCCGTTCCCATAGTCCGATCATGCTGGTTCGCGAACTCATTCAAGTTTATCCCGCCTTACACCTTCAAACCAAATTTGATCAAAATCGGACAAAAATTACTCAACTTATCGTGCGGATGGACACACACACACACTCACATATATATATGATATATATATATCATATATAAATATATACACGGCCGCGCCCGGGAAGCCAGTCACATAAAATATACACTGGAAGTCAGTCAGTTGCACCCCCCAATATATTTCAAGACTATGATATATATATAATATATGTTGGTAAATATCTTAAGCCTAGACATATCTGAACGTATATATCTCTTTTTTTCTTAAAAATACTAAAATATAATTACGTAAAAAATGCTATGCTAATGCAGTCACCACCGCATTTGCATGGGAAAGCCAGTCACGTAAAATTTGTGCTGCTAAGCCAGTCACTATATATTTTACCGCATACCACTGGAATCCAGTCACTGAAAATCCACCCGGGTATCCCGTCACTTCAGTCACTTTCACTCCTGCCCTTCTACTTTGTGATATTTATTTGTTCTACAAGCTTGAAAATCCGCACCTCAAACAAATGGATTATGCTTCAGGCATTGAGCACTCTCATAACCCATCTTTCGCACTTCATTTTAATTAGTTGTCTTCAAGATTACTTAACAATTACTATTCTACAGATTAAATACCTAAATGTCAATGTAATCTTTGGTCGTCTTAATAGTCGTCCTGGCAACTGTGGATACAAATATGTACCGTACTAATTCGCAAGCGTAAGGTGGGACGTTATTGCTTTATAGTAGCACAATTAGGCCTATTGTTGAGTCCTTGGAGGCAAGCAGCCATCTTGGATGATTTCAAAAAGCTGCAAAATTTATCGTCCAAAAATATTTTTCAAACACCAAAGTGTTTATAATTTAAATAGCTAGTATACTGTGGGATTAGAAATGTTCTTTGTAGTTTTGAATTATTCTCCAAGGGAGTCCATAAAATAAGTTAACGGTCACGGTCATCTTGGAAAAAGGCCAACTAAAACGAAAACAATATCCTGTGTTGCGCGGGCCGTAGCACACAAATAGTTTTCCCGCCTCAAACAATCAAAGGCGTGTGGAACAAGGCAAAATTCTTGTCTCTTTTGTGGCGAGAGGTAGGGGCGAGCCTAACGGGTTCCATTGATGGGCTACCCGACTACCGACCGACCTGGGGTAGCGACTAGCGAGCCAGTGGATGGTTAAAGGTTCTGCCGGTTATTTCCATCTTATTGCTGGTTCTCGAGCTTTTGAGCTCGTTGTACAGTGAAATATTACTTCCCTATTTTATATAGCCACAATCAAAGCGATTTTTACAAGAAAGAATGAAGATATAGACTCAGTGATGTGTGGTTACTTAATTAAATCATGTTCCTTGATTGTTTACCCTTTTGTAAGAGCCAATAATCAATCAACTTATATTTCTTTATTTTTCGATTTATTATCTATATCAATTCAAGAGGTAGCCCTGTACCTGGTTAACAAATATACCGATTACATTTAACGTGTTTTCTTTGAGTTACGCCCCATGGGATTCCAAAGTTTCACAATGTTTACATTTTTGAAGAATGTAGATAACAGAATGTTTAACGAAGTCAGCTTTAAATGCTGTCAATAAAGTTCTTTGATTTTGCGGTCCAAAAGGTAGAAACTATTCGAATTGTGAAACTTTTAATTTTTGCTACGAGCCTGTTAATTGGAGATTGTGACTTTCTTAATTTAAGGAAGTAAACGTATTAACATGACGTGTTTGGAGTGGGATTTGAAATATGTGACGTGTATCAAACTTTTTCTCTTCAAAATCCTCTCCGATGTAAAACACAGGTACGGCAGCTAGGTTTATTAGAATTCAAAAGTTTTTTAATTGTCCTCCAATGTTTAGAAAATATTTTTCGATCAAGTTGTTTAATGAATAAATAATTGTTTTGCCAAATTATGTTTCGAAAACAGGAACTAAAAATAGATCAGGAAATAGATATTTTAGTTCAGAAAACAAAGCCAATCAAATAGGCCTACGTACTTTTTAAATTAAAACACTGGTCAGATGGTTTTTAACTTTGCTTTTTATTTACTTCAATAAATTTCTAATAAAAATCACCACAGGTACTAATCTATATAAATAAAATTAGAGTTTTGTCTGTACATTGCTCAGAATCATCAACTTTTAGATTATTTTTACGTTTTAAACATTCAAGAATCCGAAAAAAGTTTCATCTCAATTCCGTTACTATCTCAATCATCAATTATTATCTCAATTCCGTTGTTGTCTATCTTCCGTCTGTCACGGTCCAAAGGCCATTTTACGCGGCCTTCTCCTGAAAACGAGAGTACCTATCAAGATCCTCGAATCATTTTAATGTATTCACTGGATTGGCGAAAGTGTCTTTAGCTATTAAAATATGGCCTCGCTACTTTGTAAAAAAAACTTACGGACGTTTAAAACCCAATTTTGTGCGATTTTTGTCAAGTTTTCTCACAATGTTTATCACATAATCATCATATGAAATAGCGAACAGCTGTTCGGATCAAGATTATTTTTCTCTAGCTGTCACTGATATGTTTACATTGAATATTGTTTACAAATACCGCAATCATTTCAGATCAAGTTTCAAAAGCAAATCCAAACCAAGTTGGATTAAAACCGTTTTTCCTTACATAACGGATTTAATTAATCGGAAGTGCAATAATGTGTAGGGTAACCGTAAATGAAAATAGAGCTTCTTTGTGTATAGAATTTCTATCGAGTTTTGGGTTTATACCCGGGGAAAAGACTTTGACTCAGTGTTCTATATGCCTGGGAAACTTACATTTTTTACATAAGCGTTACCAATAGCTTACATATAAGGTTTCAACTCGTTGACGGCACTTCAATGGTGGTTGTGTAAAGTGTTTAGAGACAACTGCAGTGGGTGATTGTAACAGAGGTTTACGGATTATGCTCAAATCGTGTTTCTAATGTGTCTTCTCAACGCTATGTGCTGCTCGCTGGACCATACGTCCAACAGACCAATTATCCATCTCTTGGGTTCGTAGGCTTAAACAATTATTCATAAGTTGGTAGCACATATAACTCAGTGTTCCGTACGGACAGGCCAAGAGCACCTTTGATAGTGAAATTTCCAACCTGAATGTTTAATGGCGAGGTTGAGGTATAGTATTTTAACTATATTTTGTTTGGTTAGTTAGGTAAGGTTAACCTAACCTAACTAACCAAACGATATATGGAATTAAACAATCGAATAATCAATATTACTAATTTAGTTGTTTGTGCCAACAGATATGGAAGTGGGGAAACGGACAACCTTTCCCAGGGTTAAAATTGACCTGCGAATTTCTGGCCTGTTTTGCAGGGATGGACAACCTTTCCCATCACTAATGAGGGGTCGGGGTAGGACAGGTTGGCCGCCCCTGCTGCCAGGATTATCATCGAGTTTGACGATGGGTGACAGGGGATGCAATGGATTATATTTCTAGCATTTGCACTGCGATGCACTGGAAGATAATATTATTTCCCTTAAGGAATTGTTAGCGTTTACGGATTTTATTTGTGATATTTTTTTATGCGATTTGAAAAAGGAAAAAATCGAACAAAAAGTCAAATCAATTATTATCTAAATATACTAGAAACGTGAGCTATTAATGACTTTAAACAGTGTTTAAATATATTTTTCCTACAGTTACTTAACAATGTACATGTTCTCTCACTGATTTGAGAAAGCAAAGTGGCTAATTCGCTCATCAGTGAGACAATGTTAACATTGTCTCACTCTAATTACTTTGTCTCACTCCAGATTTGCAACGTGAACGCACGAAATAGTGAGCGCGTAACATGCAGACAAGGTTGTATGCGCGCGAAATACGTTGGCAGCACTGGCTGTAAATCAGCTGGTCAGCTGTTGTACTGTTGTATTTGTCACTTCACATTAAATGTTATATTAAAAGTCACTTCTGTGTAAAAATATGTTACGTTTATTCACTAATTTATTTGTTTTATGGTAACCGTAGGAAAAATATAATGTGCAACTCGAGTGCAAAGTACAATTGCCTCACTCGAGAAACCATTCCTCACTCGCCTACGGCTCGTAAGTAAGGATTTCTCTCGAGTGAGTCAATTGCTCACTTTGCTCACTAGTTGCACAAATAACTATCGTCCCACAGTAAAATATTAAGTCTATTTTACGTGTGTA